GTGCTCTGGTGATCAGTGTCGATGATTACAAATTAAAGAGGAGAAAACGTTTCAGAAGAAGAGAAGAAGATGGAGGAGAAGGAAAGCTACGGGTCGGCCACTTTTCTCGGTTTTATCTTGAGTAAATGTGTCTGTACTGAACACATTCTCAAAACAACAGGCACTTTTCTCGTCTTCGGTGGCCTAGTGTTTGTGTTATATCGCCACAAGTGAGCTCAGTGATAATCGACTTTAATTTAATTACAGCACAAAACATTTGTTGATTGGAGGTGCTGGTGGTGGTGGCAGACAGTCAAACTTGGAAATACAAACAAACGAACACAGAGTCAGCATGAGGTCAAATAGTGAGAATGCTGCGGTGTCTTCGGCAGGTGAGAAGCAAAAAACCTTCCTTTGAGGAGAGCTAGTTGGTGGTGGTGATAGCAATCAGACTGCGGTGGTAATTGATTTGGACGACCACCTGATGAAAAGTGCCGATAAAGGAAGAAAGAGAGGAGGGTGAAAGAGAGTAGATACAGGGAAGGTATGTAAAGAGGTCAAAAGGTGATGATGAGGAAGTGATAGTGTTTGAATGTCGACCTGTAATGAGTCAGGTTGAAGTAGCCATAATTAATGGTCAATTAATGGCACTGGCTCGTCAAGGCCGCGTGTCCTCTTGCTGAGGAGTCGCTTTTAATTGAGGTTAGTGGTGCAAAACGTGCCTTTAAAAAAGTGGAAGCGGATACAAAAAATGTACTGTCGGCCTACTGACCGTCTGGCAGGTCGGTCCTGGTGATGATGAATTAAATCAACAACGTGTCAATGAAACGCCGGTGAAAGTCCGATGCGCCGTTGAAATGAAAAAGTTAATGCAGTATAAAGTGTCTCTCGACAGATTGCCCGTCTTCTTCTTTTTCGTTGAAGTCGTTGACTTGCAAGTGAGTAGAAGCTACTGCACTCGGTGACGACACACACGGTTTTTTTCTTTTTCTGGTGGTGGTGGCGGTGGTAGCAGTGCTGACTGATTTCACTGACTGGCAGACTCGAAAGTGAATGGCACCCGAATGAAGCAAAGTGCACAATCTGAATGGTGGTTTGGCTGCTGCTGCGATGTTAACCGTCTGTGGTTGGCAAATTTTGGTTGTTCACTTCAAAAAGCAGAAAAAGAAAGAAAGGAAGAAAAAGAAGAAGACGAAGATGATCAACAGTGGTGGTAAGGAAAAGAAAGTGAATGAGAAAGGAAGAGAGACAGAGACCAACAGGCGGCAATCAAACAGGCAGACAGACTGAATGAGTGAGGCAGACGAACCAGCGAAAGTGAGGCGCCCATGTTGTAGAAGCTTCATTACAAACCACAACTGCTGCAGCGTTGGTCCACGTTATTTTTAACTCCACCACTCGGATCAACGAGAGAAAGAAAGAGAGAGAGAGAGGTCTTTGCGATCTTCGAGGGCTGGAGAATAAATAAACAGTATGTGTTGTGTAGTATACCAGAAAAGACGTTTCCACAGTACAGGCAGTATTTGCAGCACGACTCTCCCAGGACCAGTTAATCGACGTCTGGGATTCATAAATTGATTTCCCCTTGTTTCCCGGCGAAGTACGGCTAACAACTAAGTATAGATGACTTATTTCTTCATCATCTTCTTTCTTTTCCTTGAAGGGTAAAGGAGAACAGCAATAAGCGCTGTCCTGTTGTCGTCTGTTTTGGTCAATGAGCCACCACTGTTGAGTATAAGGTGCTGATTGGTCAGTGGGGCATTTAAATTGCAAATGCAAATTAAATTGAGTAAAGTGGCAAAGCTGTGAATGGCTTATTCAAATTGGCACTAGATTGATCGTGCATCAAAAGCAGCAGCACACAACATTGACTGGTCAGCCCAGTCATTGCAGTTTTTTCCCTTTTCCCCTCTCCAGGGTGATTTATCGATTTCTAACCAGACAGTGCAGATTGGAAGTAATGAACAGAGGGCACAGACACAAAACCGCTAATTGACAAGTGACATTCGATTAGGCGATCGATGCGGCGTGCCTGATAAGAAAGAGTTGCAAGAGTTGACTGACTGAGGGTAAGGGTTTGCTATGTGTGAAAAGCAATTTAAGGTTGAAGAGAAAATGAAAGAGTGAGTGATAAAAACGGTAAAAGTTGCAACTTTTTTTGCTGTTGTAGAACAGTGGACGCACATAATCTCCAGTTTGATTAGAGAGATCAAATTGCAAAAGGATATACTCAAACCCAGACTGTCTACTAAAAGATATTAAAAACCAACATTAAGCAAAGATAAAAATACCAGCGAGTAATTTTGCAAACGACCTCAATTGACATTGAATAAAGTTCAACACAAGAACTGTGCAAGAATTCGAAATTCACCAAAACGAGTATAAAACATAAAAAGTGACAGAAAAAAAAACATTTTTATCGTAGCTAACAGCTAACAGACAAATCAAACAATGAAACTGTTCACTTTTAAAATTTTGTTGACGTGTCTGATTTTTTGTGTCAGTTTTGGCACTCTGGGGGCTTTTGTTGATTCTCTAGGCAACTTTTTTCATAAAGGCATCAGCAGCAAACATCCGTTCCCTGAGAAAGATCTCAGTAAGCTAGATGAACAATTGAAAGAAAAACTGCTTTCTGAACCAGAAAACGAAAAACTAATAAATCTGCAAGATGCTATCAAATACGCAAAATGGCTCATCGCCGAAAAACCCACCAACGAGACTCGAAGTCCTTTTGATCAAAGAACCATTGACAAAGCCCTAAAGGAGGTCAGCAAGCAGTACATCAACTTGTAAGTAAACTGACTTTTTTTGTAATAAGTAGTTAAAATGTGTTAACATCCTACTTTTTATTAGACCTAAAAGCTGGAAGAAGAATTTTGAAAGTGTAGGCAAGCTAGGAGGCGCCGTTGCAATTGGCGCCATTATTGGCGGTTACGGAAAGGACTATGTCCAGCAGTGGTGGGCTAACCGAAACACCGGTAGTCCGGCGAAGAAACCAGAAAAGGGGGCGGGAAATGGTGGTGCGGCCGCTGGTGGTCCTGGAAAGGCGAACTTTCCTGGTAACCTCTTCGCTGGCGATAATAAGGTCGTCCCCAATCCAAAAACCGTCACTGATGACTTTCCCTGGATCTGGGTGATCATCGGCGCTCTCGTGGCTGTGGTCATTGGCCTTGCATTGTACCTCAACCAGGACAGCCTTTTCGGGAGTGGAGGCTACGGAGAAGATGAGGGCTACGATGACGGGACGACGAAGAAGACGAAAAAGGGCAAGCGCCGAGGTAGCAAGCAGCGCAAAAGACGACACAGCATTTAGCGTTTAGGAGGAGAGGAAAAGTCGAGTTGTTCTACTGTTCAGTCGTCTGCGTCGCGCAAGCATAACTAAAATGTTGCTACTTGTTAATTCTTTTGTACTGCATAAAAAGAAGCAAAAAGTGTAGAAAGTATATTTTAATATTTTTAAAAACTTTGGCGGCGCTTCAGCCCTTTCACCGGTGTCACTTTGCATCACTGACCGTGACAGTGATCACTTCTTCTCATTGACGTCTTTAGGAGCCTGGGCAAAAATATGGCAGTAGTCATCAGGGGCTGAGAGGGGAAAGATGAAAATGGTAAAGATTTCGTACAAAAGATTTGGGTAATCAGGAAAACACGTACCGATCAGAGCAGTGGGTGCATCACTGGGCAACTGCTGAATGGCGTCCTCTTTGACTGGCGCCTGTTTCGACAATGGCGGCGGCGGCGGCACCACCGCTGGAGCCTGCTTGGCAGCTGTGTACAAATTCTAAATAATGTTTGTATACAAATCGACATTCATGTAAGACACCAACAAATTCAGTATTCAAACCACTCTTACCTGATAGTCATCAGGGCCGATCAATGCAGTTGGCTGAAAGTTGGTGAGGGGAGAAGAGGTGAAGGGAGGAGAGGTGAAGGGAGGGGAGGAAAGTGTTAGCAGAAGGCTGTTGCATAGTTCAAGGTAGTGTGACTACATACAGCGTCAGAAGGAACGCGCTCAACGGCATTTTGCTTGACACTTCCACCACTTCCACCACCGCCGCCTCCTCCGACCTTGTTGGTGGAACTTCCCACTACCACTACTGGCTGCTTGGCAGCGTACATGTGACAGTAGTCATCTGGAGCTAGAAAAAATGACATTTGTTTAGCAAAAGAACAGCACTTGAAAAGCAGTACCTATGAGCATCGTCGGAGCCTCTTCGTCACTGTGTGGAGTGGCAGGGGAAGGAGGAGGAGGAGGTGGTGGTGGTGGTGGCGGGGGCGGTGCCTGATTACGACGGTCAGCCAACTTGACCACTTTGGTGGCACTGGCGCCAATTGGCTTATGCACCGACTGTTGACGAGCGTGCGACGGCTGCTGCTGTTGCTGCTGAGAAGAGGAGGCAGGCACCGTTGTGCGTTCCTTCTTTCCGGCCAACTTGCTGCCACTGGCGCCTCCGGCCATTTTGTTGTGTCCATCTCGGTGTTTGCTCTTCTTCTTGTCCTTCTCTTTGTCCTTGTCCTTGTGCTTCTTGTGACCGCCCATGCTTTTCTTCAAAGGTCAGGTAGGAGGAAAGTCCTAAAGCAGAATGACAAACTTGAACAGTTCTGAACGGTGACAACGCTAGCGATGAACAACGTCTAAAAATGTTGACGTGTTTTTATTGCTCTAAATATACTGGTTGGACAAATATATCACAATAAAAAGAAGTTCGAAAAATAAATTGGGCAACAGTGCCTAATCAGTGTCCTGTCCGGCAAAACGGATGAATACGAGCTCAATTGAAGACTGACAGAAGGAGTACTCCTCAATGTCTCCTTTGTACTTCAGCAGCCACTTTTGAAGCGTCTCAAAGACAAGGGCCATCGAGCGAATGTCCGTCTGAGGAACCTCCAGCTTAATGTTGTTCTTCAGCTTCTCAAAAACCTTCACGTTCGGGAAAAGCTGCTCTTTGGCGAGCGAGTAAATGCGATCCCCGTCAAATGTCGGCTTGAAGGAAACCTCGAGAATGTAGCCTGAGCCAAATTTATTCTTTAGATGTTGAATCTAGAGATGTGCAGGTGAAGAAAAAACAGTGAACAAAATAAAAAATCCCATATCTATCCATACCGTGCCAAGACATTGTACCACTCCCTTTCGCATGATAGCCATTNATGCGATCCCCGTCAAATGTCGGCTTGAAGGAAACCTCGAGAATGTAGCCAGAGCCGAACTTATTCTTTAGATGTTGAATCTAGGGATGTGCAGGCAAAGAAAAAAGCAGTGAACAAAATAAAGAATCCCATATCTTTCCCTACCGTTCCCAAACACTGCACGACTCCCTTTCGCATGATAGCCATTTTAGTGGACAGTGCCTCTACCTCTTCCATTGAATGCGTCGTTAGAATGGCACTCTTTGGTCCGTTTGGCTTAAAGTGTGACGTGAGAAGGTCCCACATGAGTCGTTTTGCTGAAGTTAACAACAAAAAACATCTAATAATGTCACTTGAATTCCAAACTACACTTACATGTCGGATCCATTCCAGTGGATGGCTCGTCCAAAAGAACCAGATTCACGTTTCCCATGATCGAAATAAGCAGACACAGCTAAAAAACTTTAACGTTTACCACAGTTTTATCTAGTATCATCAGTACTACCTTTCTTTTGGTTCCACCGGACAAGTTGCTGGAGCGCTTTGATGCGTGCTCTTCAATGGCGAGAATCTCAATTAAGCTAAGGAAAATGAAAAAAAAGGAATTTAAAGTTTATCCTCTTCAAACGAATTCAAATACCTCTCAGTAAAAGTGGTTATCTCACTGGATGGTACGCCTCTGATGGCAGCAAAAAGTTGCAAGTGCTCCTTCAGAGTGATGTCTTCCCAGAGTGGATTATTCTGAGGGCAGTAATTGAGCAGCCCAGTTCGACTAGTGTCCTCTGTCATTCGTTTGCCATTGATGAAGACGTCGCCTGAAGTTGCGACCTCGTCATTGCATATTATGCGCATTGTTGTCGTCTTTCCCCTAATATTCAGCGTTTTTAGTTATGACAAATTTGTGCAAATTAAAATGACTTACGCGCCATTTGATCCTAGTAGTCCGAATATTTGTCCACTTTCCACAACCAGGCTAAGTGAGTTGATGGCAATTTTGTCTTTGTACGTCTTTGAAAGTTCTTTTATAAGCAGCAGCGGAGCCTAAGTAAAAAACGCCAAGTGAGTTACATATGTCCAACAAATGATAAAAATTAAATCAGTACCTTGCCGCCAGACTGTATGCCATTGAAAAACTTTTGCACTCGTTCCGTCTCCTTTTGAACATCCGAATCGCTATTCTTATGCTTAATTGCCTGAACTGGCTGGTTTTTTCCTTTGCAGAAAAGTACTTTACAGAAGAATATTGAGCCAGCTCGGTCAACCAAAAATAGTAGCACCAAGTAGAAAACCAGTCCCACCGTGAGCTGTCAAGAAAATACCAAATGTCGTTACTAAAGTACCACTTTGCATTACAGTTTACAAAGTTTACTTACAGCAAGAATGTTTGGCAACAATATTTGGTCCCATGAAAAGTAGGAAATTTTGACTGATGTAAGGTTAAAATCAATTGCAACTTGTTTCTACATTTAAAAATGAAAAAACTAAAAGTACTGTAGTTGATGGTAAAATGCTAATTTCTTACCGTTAAAGCTGAAGAATATAGTGTGTAATATCCAACCAGTGGAGAGGCAAATGGACAAATGAGCAGCAAAAAGAAGGATATATAACTCAAAAACTTTTCGATGAAATTCTTTGCAATTATCCAAATAACAACTACTGCGCCAATAAGCTTTAAAGAGATAAGAGTTAACGTTAAAAGCAGTTCTCAAAAGAAAACAATGTCACAACTTACCATGTAGTTAATCAAGCCCAAATAGCCATCTGCAGTTTCCGTCTTCTCAAAAAGAAAGGAGAACACATACGAAACGAGAAGTGAATTGAAGGTAAAGAGGACGTTCATAGTAATGAGAATGAACCAAAATTGCCAGTCGCCAAAGAGAGGTTTGAGCCGGAAAACCCACAAAGTGAGACCACAGGTGACGGCGCACAGGCCACCAAAGAAGAGGCTATGCACCAGAAAGTAGGAACACCAGTACATGGAAGAGGTGACGCCGCTTGCCTTCAAGTAGTTCTTCACTCCAGTCTACAGTTGACAAAAATGGCGATAACCATAGAGAAAAAACACAATTAGGCGGCAGCAAGACTACTCACTTCACGCTCTTTGACCGACTGCGCTGCCAAGGAGGCCGGCACTGAGGTGAACGCTGATGCCAATACGTAGAGGTACATGACAATGGGCACCAGAGACTCCGAAACATCGGGTAGTTTGCTGACCAGGGGACTGTTTACTGTTTCAATGTGAAAAGGCTTCGACAGCCACTTGCTCGCATACAGATTGCTGACCAGGTTCTGCAGAATGGGCAGTGAGTGCAGGTGGTTGACATCGTAGTAGATTGCAGAAATGGTGTCATTCGAGGCAATGTCCACTGCGTAGATGGCGTCTTTCATGCTGGCTGCGGTAAAGTTTTTAACCATTTTGGGAGAGCAATACTTCTTCACACTTTTGATTGCTTCGTTGAAGTCGGCCGTCTGGGCTCTGTACAGTAGCGTCTTCTTGTCGTACAGTGCAGTGCCAAGATCTAAATGCTTTTCCTGAGAGGATCGTTGCTGATTAAAAGCAAAGTCGGCCATTCCAAAGATTAAAATGCCATAAACAACATAAATCATGATGAAGGAGCTGTCTCGAAGCATCATCAAACAGCGAATTCGAACGAGATGGAAAAAGGCCACCAGAAGGTCAAAGTGGTAGTTTGTTCGTTTCAGCGTATCCTTACTGCTCGATCTGCCAATGGGAACTTGATGAGAACTTGAGGAGGCAGAGGCAGTACGGTTCTGATCGACCACAGTGACTTCATCGTCGTGGCAAACGTTGAGAAAAACATCTTCAAGTGTGGTCATGGTGATGCCGTAATCTTTGATGAAGAGATCACCGCGCTCTCGTGACTGGTCTAGCGAGTGAAAAAGTGCCGGAAAGTGTGAAGCCTCCTCCTTTGGCAAGGTGAAGATCATCTCAGAGTTGGTGGTTCTATCCAGGCGAGCACTAGGCACTTTGCCACGAATAATGTCATTGATGGCTGCCTTAGTCTGCCCACCACCACCACCGCCCTCTTCAAAAGACGCCTCAATGCGCAGGTGATAGCCAACACCGAACTTGCTCTTGAGGAAGAGTGAAGAGCCGACACAGTGAAGCTTGCCCTTGATAATGAACGCCTTACGGTCGCTGAGAATGTCCGCCTCGTCCATAAAATGCGTCGTGAGAATGATGACTCGACCCTTTTTCAGCGACTGCAAAGCCGCCCAAATCTTGCGTCGAGAGTAGGGGTCCACTCCGCTGGATGGCTCATCGAGAAAGATCACCTTCGATTGAGCGATGACTGCCATGGCGATGCACAGTTTGCGCTTCTGTCCGCCGCTTAAATTTTCCGGCCGTGTGTCCTTCTGCTCTGTCAGCTCCAGTATCTCCATCATGTGCTTGACCTCATGATTGGCGTCACTGTCACTTAAGCCCTTCATCTTAGCGATAAAGTGGAGGTGCTCAGGCGGTGTCAAGCCATCCATGATGATGTCCTCCTGAAGGCAGACGCCAAAGTGGGTGCGTATCTTCCAAAGGTCAGCTGAGTCTTGCACGCACCGACCGTAGATGTGCACCTTTCCCGAAGTGGGTCGAAGTTCACCCGTCAGCATTCGAAGAAGTGTCGTCTTGCCTAATTGAGGAGAAATGGATACATCATTTAAGTATAGCACAAGAAAGCATTAGCAATAGCGGCTAAACGCACCAGCGCCATTTGGCCCAAGAAAGGCTGTGATTTGCGATTCGTACAGCTGCATGGTGATGCCCTTGGTGACGGTGAGGCCATCAAATGTCTTGACGATGTTCTCAATGTCAATGGCCTTCTTGTCTCGAAAGTCCTCTGTCACCGGCTCGACATTTTCATTGCTTAGTTGGCTCTCGCTGAGATCAATTTTGTCAGATGTTGTAGCCTTTTTGCTGAGCAGCTTTTCCAGCCAATCAGCCACAGTACTGCTGTAGTAGAGGTGGTCGATCAAGAGCGCCGCACAAAAGTAGAACACACAGTCAAAGACTAGCGCCAACAGGGAGTAACCGAAGGGAAAGTAAAGGGCGGAAAACATGTTCGAGAAGGTAATGTTCTCACGAGAGTGAATGATCTCTCTCAGTGTGGCCGTGCAGGGAAATGGTGACAGGAAGAAGAGTACCTTGAAGATGAAAGGGTCGGACATGGGCGTTTGCTTGCAAATCTCGAACAATGCCCCGTAAAGCAGTAAGGACGCAATTAATGTAAAAATTTGCGAATTCTGGAAAAAAATAACCAAAATTGGCAGAAATCTGAAACAAAGCAAAAAGTTACCTTGAGTTGTTGAAAGAAAAAACTGCACATAAAAGCGAGTAGTGTAAAGGAAAAGGCGGCTGCTTGANGACAGGAAGAAGAGTACCTTGAAGATGAAAGGGTCGGACATGGGCGTTTGTTTGCAAATCTCGAACAGTGCCCCGTAAAGCAGTAAGGACGCAATTAATGTGAAGATTTGCGAATTCTGGAAGAAAATAACCAAAATTAGCAGAAACCTGAAACAAAGCGAAAAGTTACCTTGAGCTGTTGGAAGAAAAAACTGCACATAAAAGCGAGTAGTGTAAAGGAAAAGGCAGCCGTTTGAATGAAGACATAGAGCATCACTTGATTGATTGGCGCCTTCATGTAGGCGAGTATAAAAGCCGTCCATGCCATTGCCGGCGGAATCGTGAACAGGCACTCAATGATGGCCCAGCTAAACGAGTAGGCAGTGATGTTGAGACCCATCATCAGAAGGGCGTCTTTGATGCGTTTCTCCTTCTCCGTGATTAGGTCCTTTGCGATCAATGCAAAACTGAAAGCAAAGGAAACTGGCACGTAGAAGTACAGGTACAGGTCGTTTACTTCTTTTTCTCGAGGAAAAACGCCAATCTCAAAGTTGGGTACCATCTTGATTGAGTACTCTTCATTGCTAGGGGTCATATCTAAGAGTTGTCCATATCGTAGCTGCAGGTTGAATAAACAAAAAATTAGCGTACTTCCACAAAATAAACTCAATTTCAAGATCTTACACTGAGAATAGAACTGTCCACTGCTGCTTGCACCAATGAAAAGCCACTTTTAAAGTACTTGTAAGACGAACAATTCTTTGCAGATTTTTCATAGCAAGTTTCCTCTAATTTAGTTGCCGAAAGTCCCTCTGAACTTGAAAAACTGATCGTGTACTGGAAAAATGATTCATTGAACGAGTTCAAAATTAATCCCATAGTATTGTCACTCGCTGCAGGACCTTGTTCAGAGCTAAATTCGTTGAAAGCTTGTTCATGCTCAAAAGTTGTGTTGTATTCAATGTTTTGGTATCGACAGTCTTGAGTATTACAGATGACCTAAAATACAAACAAATACTTTAACCAAGTCATCATAAAATGGTTATTCCACTACCTTGGTAGAAATTTGCAATAGTGCAACAAACTGATGCATTTGCTTGTCGTTGAAAACGCCATTGTTAACGATATACCAGTTTGGCTTGAGCATTGAAATTGTCCCATTTTCTAAGTAGAGTCTGCCCTCACTGATAGTCTCATTAGTAACTTGAAAATCTTTTGGTTTTGGCATAGAGTATGTCGTAAACATAAAAAACATTGGCATGAATATTTGCTGAACAAGTAAAAGAAAAGGATAAATTGAGGGAAATCAGTGCTTTTTGGATCAAAACGCAACTAAACTTACCAGGAAGAAAGCAGATCGCTGGCGCCACTTGATGAGGCCATTTCGAATCAGTAAAGCCTTCAGTTGTTGGGTGAATGAAACATGCTTTTCCGCCAATACCGGTCCATTTCCACTGTGCTGACGGTTCAGGCTGTTGGAGCTCATCTTTTGCCCGAGATCTGATCACAGTTGAAAACGCTAGTGTGCTAAAACAGTCATCACAAGCGAGTTTTATGCGTAAAAAACTGAGCCATTTCGAACTTTCTCAAACAGCTGAATCGCCATTTTGTAGACCATGCGTAAACGGTGGTAATGAGACGAAGTGAGCGGCAACACCGCTGCCAATGGAAACACCGGCGGTAAGTTTGTTTTTGGGTCGAAAAGGTAAACTGTTAATCGAAGTTTCAGCAGAAGGTGACAGTTACAAGGCAGTTGTATACGCTGTACAAGAATGCCCTTTCCAGAGAATTGCCGTGTGAAAGTAAAAGTGTGTCACTGGGTGATTTTGAAGCCGGTCAAAAGGGGGGAAATTCAGAAACACAGGGAAGAGTACGGGGTGAAGACTTTGGTAAAGAACTGAATCGTCAGGGAATCGGGAAATCAAAAGAGTTTAAAACCTCGTCTCGTGATTTTGCCAAGAGAAAGGGGCAAAAAGTGCTAGTCATTCAGTCTATAAAGTGATGCGTATGCTGATGCTCTTGCCACTGGTCACACGTTTCACTGTCATTCTGTCAACACAGAAAAACAAACATTCTGGTCACTCTCTCCCCCTCAACATATGCGCATGTACATTCTACGATTTTCTGGTGGAAGCAGCATTCCTCTTCTCACCAGAATTGACGTCTTTTTAAGTATCTCTTTCTCATTACAAGTACAACTTTAGGTTGTTAAAAACACATTCGATTTTGTAGGTCAATCAGTCAGTCGGTAGCAGCGGTCTCTTCAGTGGTGAGCACCACTGCCGTCTCTTTTTTCACCCAAATGGTGTGCTCGTACTGTGCCGTCCTGGCGTTGTCCTCGGTGGAAATCGTCCAGTTGTCTTCGTAGGCAACGATGCTAGGGTTGCTGCTCTCGGTGATGATTGGCTCAATGGTGAAGACCATGTTCTCCAGCATTACCTCATCAGAGGGGTGGTCGTAGTGTAAAATCAGCGGATTCTGATGTAGGTCTTCCCCTGAAAGGAGATCAAGGTAAATTAAAGTAAACGGTGGACACTCACACACACTCACCAACTCCGTGACCGCAAAACTCCCGGATGACAGCCATCTTGTACGACTTGGCCACCCTTTCGATGGTTTTGCCAATCAGCGAAATCTTTTCTCCAGCTTTGCACACTTTGATTGCCTCCAACAGACAGAGCTCAGCCACAGACATCTACAGAGAATGAGGTGATTGAGGACGCAAATGCATTAGTGGATAAACACCGAGAACTCGCTCCACCACTGCAACTAACGAGATGCTTGGCTGCCGGGTCGCACTCGCCGACGGCAAATGTATGGCAGCAGTCACCATGGTGGCCATTGCTGTCGGTGCCCACAAAGACGCTGACGTCGATGGAGATGATGTCCCCTTCCAGCAACGGCCTCGAATCGGGAATACCGTGCACTGCCACATTGTTGACACTAGTGGTGACGCATTTGGGGAAGTTGCTATACCTCAACGGCGATGGGTAGCAGTTGTTCTTCAGGCAAAGCTCGTAGACGATATCATCAATATCTTCACAGGTCATTCCTGGCTAGAAATTAGGACAATGTTATGAAAGTTGAAAGTAAAGCTGCCCAAAACATACCTTCACTTGCCGTCCGGTGGTCATCAGAATTTTCTTGGCGATTCTACATGCATTCCAAATCTTGGCAATGTCCTCCACCTTCTTCACATTACTGCGATTGGCGTGCTTATTCGGAACGCCATTCTGAGCGTAGTTAGGCCTGCCAATGGTCGGAGGGAAGGAGCGAACGGGAAAGGACACTGGATACGTTGGTTCAACAATTTCGTACTTCACATCGATGTGCTGGTGATTGCTCAAAAGTCGAGCTGCATTTGCATGTGAGCATCTCGACACTAGCCGAGAGAGTAGTGACCGGTTTGATTTAAGTAGCATCCTTTAGAATGGCTGAATTAGGATGAAAGTGTGAGTATTATTGAGGACTAGCTCTGGTTCTACACTCTGAGAGAACAAAACACTCTGGTTGAAGAACAAAAACAAGAACTGAAGAACATCAAAAATCAAAACAACAGCAACATCATGATCGGACACACCATTCATGTAGAAATAGAGTTTTGAATCTTGGGAGATTGTAAATTGATTTTTATTATTACTCGATGATTATTCAATTAGTCGCCACTGTAAACAACGTTAACAAACATATAAATTAAATCGGCAGCAAGTTTGAAGATCGCTTTAGAAAAATGATGCGTTTGATGCGCCGAGAGAGTGCATCGACAAAGACGTTTTTCTGAGCAAAGAGCAAAAGGAAGAAGATTAGTGCCTGATCAGAGAAGATATCTAAACTACAAAACTTACCTGAGTGACAGCCTGAATTTTGGAGAAGAAGGCATCACTAAAGGTGGCCTCTGCTTGCGTCTTCAGCGTGTCCACCTCTTCAATCTGCTCAGGCGAAAGGTCGAGCATGCTGAAGAAGATGTTAAAGTGCGTCCAGAGGAGGTACAAGGCATTTTCAATGATAAAGGTGCACTTGGGAATATCATTCGAGCGAAGTGTGCAGGTGTTGATGATGGACACCAGCAGACCGAGTGAGTGCTTCGAGTGAATGCGCGAATCAGTGTTCACCAGAGATGCCTCAAAAATTGGATTTGATGCTAAAGGAAAGAAGAAAATAAGTGTCAGTAAAGTGGACAGTTTGTACCTGCAACTGAGCTCATACCATTAAATGAAATCAACTGAACACAGGCGTAGAGAATGGTAAAGACGACTTCGCTGTCAGTGGAGAGGGAGTGTTCGTCAGTGTACAGTGACAGCAGACCGACAAAGTTGCTCTGAAGATTGCTGTTCACGTTGAGAATTAGTCGTCCAACGAGACGGGACACCAGCAGCAGCAGCTCCTTGCCGTTTTCACTCTCCTTTATGGTCGGTGCAATGCGAATGAGGTCGTAGAGAATGGAGCGTGATGAGATAAAAGCGCCAATCTAAAAAAGAAGTTTTTTAAAAAAGATCTTTCAACTTCTTTCAAGCCACTACGTACCTCACTGATGATTTGGTGATTAGTATTCGTGGTGATGGTAATCATCAGCCGAAGAATGTCGACAAACATTTTAAAGCAGACGGCATTTTCGCAGATCAAGTAGGGGTACATATCAAAGCTCTGCAGCGACTCGAGGGTGTTCACAATGTCAAGGTTGTTGAGCAGCAAGCCACCAGCGTTGTGCGAAGAGAACATCTTCAGAAGAAGCATCTAAATTATTTTGAAAAAAAGAAGAATCATTAACATCAACATCTCTGATAAAAAACAGACAGCACTTACCATCTTTGACTCAAAGACGTAGAAGGTCTTGATGAACTCGTACTTGTTCGCCCGAATGTCCCGGTCATCGGAGAGAATACTCTGCAGCAGCTGCTTCAGTGTGCCGTTGAGGATGAGCTCATTGAGCCAGTTGTCGGTGTCGCTGCGATTCAGTATGGAGATGGAGAGCATCTTGGCGACCTCATGACCGGAGAGGACGTCCTTCGTCAGCCGGTCCAGCAGGTTGCTGCTGAACTTGATCTCCTTGAAGAGCGTCCCGGGCAGCAGCTGAAAGAGGTAGAGGAGGGCGCCGTAAAAGTTGACCCTTGCCCGCTTCTGCTGTGACCAGATGGCGGAGGAGCTCTCCAGCGTGTGCAGTATGGAGCGAATGCAGGAGGAGATGTTGGAGACCGACTGAGAGCGAATCTCATTGAGCGAGTGCGAGGCAATGAGAATGGTGGAGGAGATGGAGTTGAAGAGGGCGTAGTTGGTGTTCTGGTCCAGTACCTTGTTGATCAGCTCGAGGTTGATTTCGGTCAGGTAGCGCGAGTGGACGTCCTCCTCCATGCTGGACAGACAGCGACAGAGGATGACCACCTGCACCAGCTCGCACCAGGCCTCCACAAAGTGCGCCTTCTCCGCCAGCAGGTCAATCGACCGGTTGACGGTGGTGCAGTAGCGCGTGATGGCGTTGATCTCCTCGCGCAGGAGGCTGGTCGAGGCGACGCCAATCTGCTGCCCTACGGCGTGAATCTCCGCGTACAGCTTCTGGTGCAGCAGCTGCAGGTCGATGGAGTTGTCGGCGTTCAGACAGGTGCCGATCGTCTTCATCAGCTCCTTCGAGTCGAAGTAGTCAAAGTTGGCCATGGGCGGGTGCTCGTGCGTGAAGACAAACTCGTAGAGCATCTCAATGACGCGCGGCCGGCTGGTCTCCTTGAAGAGGTAGTTCACGTAGGCGGAGTAGTACGACTTGAGCTTCTGCTCCGAGGTGATGCGAATGTCAATGGCGAGAATGCGCATGAAGAGGGCCATCTCGCTGAGCAGGCCCTCGAGGACGGTCTCCGGCGGGTCGCTGGCCATCAGCTTCGCCCAGAACTTCAGGTACTGCATGTTGAAGTCGTAGCTGGAGCGCAGCACTCGCAGCACCAGCTCGTGGGTGTGCACGCCGCTGCACAGTTTGTGGATGATGGCCATGCCAATCGCCCGCTCGTCCATCACCTCGGCGACGTCCACCAGCGCGTCAAAGAGCGAGAGAATGGAGTGCAGACAGGTGTAGTTCTGCCCGAAGAGGCTGATGTTCTTCAGCGAGAAGAGCTTACTCTCGATGCCCACCAGCTTGTGGGCAAAGTTGTAGCGCAGATTGCTGGACTGCTGACTGCCCAGGTAGGTGTTGATGAAGCGCAGCGCCTCCAGCCGCAGCCTCTTCGAGTCCGACTCGAGACACTCCACAAAGGTGTTGATCAGCAGGTCAGCCTTGAGGACCAGCGCCGGCGAGTTGTGCAGCTGCATTAGACAGAGGTAGGTCACCTCGTAGTGGCTCTCGCAGAGGGTGTTGAGAAACTTGAGCGTCGCAATGGAGACGCCCGTGGAGAAGGGAATGAGGCGGAAGAGAATGGCCAGACGGTCCTGGCGGTTGCTCTTCACGTTGATGTTGTTGAAGAGGACGTCCATCTTGATGAAGGTGGAGATGGAGAGGCCCTGCACCTTGCGAATGGCCTCAAAGAAGACCGACTGCTTCTCGCAGACGGCGGTCAGCAGGTGGAGGATGACCCGGGCGCACTCCTCCACCTCGTCAAAGAGGCGGTCGTGGTCCTTGAGCGTGGGCGAGGCGACGTACGCCTCAAAGTAGGCGGCAGTGTCCTCCAGCGTGGCGATGATGTGTCGGAAGAGCAGGTTCTCCTGCAGCATCTCCGAGAAGACCTGAAAGACGCGGCTGTTGAAGCTCGCCTCCTGATTGGTGCTGTCGTACTTCTGCACAATGCCCAGCAGCATGCTGTAGCACAGCTTCATTATCGTCCACCGCTCCTGGTCGTTCTTGAACACCCGGTAGATGGACTTGAGGAGGATGGAGTTCAGCGTAAATCTGAAGCAGCTTTCAGAGAGCGCCTGCTGGTGCAGGCTGAGGCCGGCCTCGTTGTGGCTGAAGAGGACGTTCATCAGCTCGAGAAAGCCANTGTAGCACAGCTTCATTATCGTCCACCGCTCCTGGTCGTTCTTGAACACCCGGTAGATGGACTTGAGGAGGATGGAGTTCAGCGTAAATCTGAAGCAGCTCTCAGAGAGCGCCTGCTGGTGCAGGCTGAGGCCGGCCTCGTTGTGGCTGAAGAGGACGTTCATCAGCTCGAGAAAACCGATGGTGATGGGGTACTCCTCGTTCTTCACCTCAATCTCCTCAATCTCAATGGCGATGCCGTTCTGCCAGAGCTTCTGGTGACCGAGAATGTTGGCGTTGTAGCGCGGCAGAATGCTGTCAATCTCCTTCCAGATGAGCGGGGCCACCGAGGCGGACTTGGCAAAGGCCGCAAAGCAGGTGAGAATTTGCGCCTTCAGCTCCCGTGGCACGGCGCACCGGAGGATGCCCACCAGATTGGAGATGAAGAGGTACTGCTGACTCTCCGCAATGGCCACTGCACAGGTGCGGTCCTGCAAGCAAAAAAAGAGGATGTTAATAAAATCAGCCAACTACCCAACCCAGCCACCAGCAGCACTTACATTCTTGACAATCTCCTCAATCAGCCCGACAATGGCGGAGATGGTGTCCGCCTCGGCGATCATCTTGTGCGCGTTCAGAGCGTTGCCACTGGAGCCGCCAGTGGTAGTGACGGCAAAGGAGTTGCCAAAGCCGCCAAAGGTGCTGGCGCTGATGCGTTCCTTGTTGTCGGCGCCGCGCACTGCGCTGAGGTAGGCGTTCAGCGTCTCACTGAAGGAGCCAATGGAGAACTGCATGCTCGTGTGGAAGCTGGTGTTCTTGATCAGATTGAAGACGTTAAAGGCGGAGGAGCGGGCGAGCGCGCGAAAGAAGTTGATGACGGCGGCGTGGAGAATCTGCGGGAAGAAGGACTCGTGCAGCGAGCGGATAAACTTGTTCAGCACCTGTTGCCGGTGGGAGACCAGCTTGCCGTGCTCCATGGTGATCCAGAACTCACGCGACAGGCCGTTGCCGTCGGCGAGGTAGAAGTTGGCGAGGTAGGCGAGAAACTTCTCAAACTGCAGCGACAGACTGCTGAAGGGCTTGATCGACTCGGCGCTGAAGGCGTTCAGTATGCGGCCCGACTCGTCCGCCTTGTCGCGCAGCTCCTTGATCTTCGCCGGCATGTTCACGATGAAGTCACAGTTCAGGGCGTGCAGTCGTCGGGCGAAAAAGTCCTCCTTGAAGAGGTTGTTGTTGCTCTTTGAGAGCAGCATGTTCAGGCTCTCAAAGACGTTCTCCTCGATGGCGGCGTCCACCAGCTTCTCCTCGTCAATCTCAACGTCAAACCCAGAAATGGGGTACTGAGAGAGCGTCTTTAGACTGATAGCTGCTGCGAATTTTACGATGTTTTTCACCGATTTTACCGTAAACTCGGTACGGTCAAGCTTGGCGATAAAGTCGACAATGATGCTGGAATCAGTGACCCAGGGAATATTCACCAACTGGCGGTCATTGTCGTCCAGGTCCTGAATGAAACTGACGTCCAGTGTGTAGAGGAGAGAAATTAAAAAGGAGGTGGAGACAAAGTCTAGGTGGTCGTTTTCGAAAGTGCATGATTTGGAAATCAGATCGAGCAGTTTGAGCATTTCATTCTTTGTCAGGCTCGTTTGAGCTGCGTAGTTGAAGATGATGTTTGCCGCCATTTTCCGCGTCTCCTTCATTATGTCGAGAACACGCTTTCGGTAGACAAAGGGACCTAGAGCACGATTCCGCTCGAGCATTTCAAACTCCTTGACAATGTCAAAGTCCTGCAAGAAGTCGATGCACTTGGAAATGATGCCCTCGTCCTTTAGCTCGTCGGTGTATTTGTTGATAAAGCGCGACATGTCACGAGACATCTTTGAAGTCCAGCTCCGGCCGTTTTTCGCTTGAATCAGCGTTTGCAAGGTGTTGGCAATGCTTCTTCTGCCGTCGTAGTAGTACAGGACGGCAATGGTGCCTCGAGTCATGTCGGGATATCGGGTCAGTTGATTCTCGCCGATAATTAGCAGCTCAAGCGCTGACCACTCATTCAGATTGAACATATCTGAAAGCAACAGGGCTTCTGCCACCAAGTCCTGCGGGATGACCGTTTTGAAGCGATTTTGGTTTTCAATTATCATAATGCCCTCTTTTGAGGCATTCTTCACCGCCTCTCGGTGGAGGTCATTCTTAAGTGGATTCTTCATGAAGGAGATGAACTCCGCCTTGTGCTTGACCAGTGCATCCTCTAACTGAGAACAGGCCGTGGCTGAGCCGTCCACGAGGGCACTCTTGATAAGATTACTCAACTGGCGGAAAGGCAGCCAGCGATCGCCTAGAGTAGAAAAATAAATGAAAAAACAAAATTTTAGTTTTGCCAAAGTGGTCTGCGACCGCACTACTACGTACCAAGATTCACTTGGCTAGGAGACGCCATGGTGTCCAGTAGCTGGTGATCACTTGTGGTAAGGGGTTGGTAAAGGAAGCAGTGTCGATAAGCAGATCTGATGATGGCGGGAACTTTGTGCAACTCAAATGGCAATAAAAGAAGAGAAAAACAGCCGAGCCGGTTGACATGAACAAAATCATCAGTGTTTCACTGTTTGCCTCGTGCGCGCAATCGATATTGCACACAGCTATCGATTGCTAATTTGAAAACACAAACCATCTCTTCATCGTATGAACAAAACATACAAATTGAAGCCAATTTACTGAACAATGCAATAGAGAAATTGTTTTACAGAAGTATAAAAAAGAGGATATTTTACAAAAGTATAAAGAGAGAAATATACAGTGAATTATACGGACAGGTTGTTGTTGTTCAGTGGTTCTTTTGGTTCAATGTACAGCCATTTTCAGTAGAGGCACTTGATTCAAGCGCAGAAGGGATTGAATGCAGCAGAGATGAATCGGGTTTCGAATGTTTGTTTGTTTGTTTGATGCGATGAACAGGCGAAAGGGGCGAAAGGTGATAGCTTAAATTTACTGATGGTACATGGAAGGAGGGGGTTCAGCAGAAATTGTGGGCAAGTGTTCAGTCTTCGATCGAGTCCAGAAATTGGGCGTACACATCACGTTGACATTCTCCTTTGGGGCTTATTTTAAACTTGTAGTAGCTACCGTCGGCGCAAATTGCTAAAAAAATTAAATAAAATTAGCCTACAGATCACGAATAACACAACCTGCTCACCAATGACAGAGTCAGGCTCGGCGCCAAAGGCACAAATGCACTGCGCACCAACGGGCACTTGAAAGCGCGTAAAGCTCCACTTGGAGCTAAAGTATTTCGAAATGAAGGACGCTGATGCTAAACTAAAGGATAGCAAAACATATCTGTGTTAGCATCGATGAGGAAGAAGGAGAGTCCTAATCGGATTTACTTTGATTGCTTATTTCTCTTTGGGTCGTCCACCGCAAAGATGTGCACCGTTCCGTGGTCGCTGGAGACGCAGAGAAGGGAAGAGTCCTGGTTGAAGTTGATACTGTAGAAGAAAAGAAAGTGGCCATTCATTAGAAAAATAAAGTGTCACCGGTGTAGTGAATTGACAGTACCAGTAAATATTGGCGGCGTTGGCGCCTCGTCTGAGCTCATTTAGAAGTTGTCCATTAGAGGTGTCAAAGATGCGAATCAGCGTGCCCTTTTCAGAGGCGGTCGCCAGTCGAGTGCCTGAGAGATTCAGCGCCAGACAGCTCAGTCCGGAGTCGTGTGCCATCACGTCCAGTGGCTCTTTGTCGAGATGGGCCAGGTCAATGATCTGCACGTGGCCTACTTTGCGAGAGGGAAAAGCGAGACAGGAGTTGGTGCTGTTTGGACAGAGAACACAGAGGCCTTTGGGGTTGGAGCACGTCTCAAAGACGCTCAACTGCTGGGGAACGTGGGTGAAGGTGTATATCTTGACCATGGTCTCCAAAACGGCGACAATTCTGTGGGGAGAAGGTTAGAATTAAAGGCATTTTTATAAGCAAAACAAAACAAACCTGTCTCTCCGCATTTTGACAGCTTTCACGTCAGAGGAAAACTCCAACTCAATGACATGCTTCTTCTTCAGATCATCCCAGACCATCACTAACCGAAATTGATTGAGAAATGTGTCAGTTCAAGTAGCAGTTCAATTACGACAACAACCTTTTTTGGTAGGGAAGCATGGCTTGTTGCCGCCACCAATCAACGCCAGGTAGTTACATCTGAACAGCATCTCAACGAAGCCAATGCCGCCATTGGTAAAGTCTACAAGTGGCAGAAAGATTTGACAATCAATCGAAAAAACAGTGAGCACATGTCACCACAACAAACCTTGCTTCTCCGTCTCCTTCAGCGGATCCGAGTTGAAGACGCGAAAGCCATTCTGCAGGCCACAGGCGAAGCAGCCCTGGTCCTGATTGAAGCCCACATAGAGCAGATTCTTGTTGTTCAACGGTGACTCGATCTTCTGAACATTCATCCTCGTGAGAAAGTGGGATGGGAGTTTCAACGGTGACAACAACAACAACAACACCAACGACAGGCGATGATTATGTCACCGCTTTCCTTCTTCTTCAGCAGGTACAGGTACAGGTATTGTTGTGGATGATTGGCTAGGCAGATTAGATGAGCATCTGAAGAGATGAAGCTACGGCAGCAGTGGAGCGCACTGTCCGCTGGCGGATAACAGGCTCGACGACAACAGGCAAAGAAGCTGAAGATGCGGATGAAGGCGCAGATAAACACAACACACAGAAGACAGACAAACGGAGAGAAGAAAACAGTGGCGCCTGCTTACGGGAAACTTCGGCCTGGGATGTCAGTCAGTCAGTTTCCACTCTGTGCAGCGTGTGCTTAGTTTGGTTGCTGTGTTTGGGTTTCAGAGGAGGCAGCGGCAGCAGAAATCGACGTCTCCTGGAACACGCACGGCTCCAAACGATTTGGGCGTTATATAGTCGCAACGCTGCAAAACTGGTTCTGCCAAAGTTTGGCTGCTACCACTGCTTCCTTCTGCTGCTGCTGGTGCTGGTGCAGTAGTGCTGCACTGTCTGTCTGTCTGTCACCTTGACTTGCTCTCACCCTCCTCACTGGCGGATCGAAGCCTTGGAAGGAAGGCAAAACGTTTTACGACCCGAATTTGACAGCCTACTCACACTAATTTGGCGAAGGAACCAGCTCACACTGCCACCGACTCACCATGGACTACATGATGCTGAAAGTGACCACCTGTCCGTCGGACGCTCTCTCCTACACCAATCGAGCTGTCGTCAGCACTCAGGATGCCATCAGCCAGTACAAGTAAGTGTCTGACGGCTAGTTCCATCAGCTGTTTGCTGTTGCTGTTACCCTTCCAGTCCCTGATAATGACCTAATTCTAACGCTTAGACACGTGGAAATCACCAACTCCACCATGGGCTCGTTCATCTTCACGGTGGAGCCGTCCCCTCAGATCGGCAAGGGACTGATGGGCTTCAACATGCCCATGGTAAGTTGGTGTTGTTTAGTTTTTTATGTCGGGCACTGACACTGCTTTGCTTTGCAGCGAAAATGGGCTCTCCTCTCGACGAACGAGACACTAAAAGTGAAGCCGTACAACTTTGATCTTCGAAGTTGCTCCATTGCCAGGATCACCCTCTTTGTTGATTACATGCAGAAGACGAATGCTTCTGAGTCGTTGAACACCGATGAAATGGCAAAGGCCTTCATGGAAACGTTCCTTCCGCAGGCCTTCACTGTTGGGCAGACGGTTTGTGATGACCAAACTTTAAACCTTTCATTTTCCTAGCTAACCTTTCTCTAANACCGATGAGATGGCAAAGGCCTTCATGGAAACGTTCCTCCCGCAGGCCTTCACTGTTGGGCAGACGGTTTGTGATGACCGAACTTTAAACCTTTCTTTTTCCTAGCTTACCATTCTCTACTTGTAGATGGTGTTTAAGTTCCAAGACAAGAAGCTTCTCCGACTGACTGTCAAGGAGATTGAAGCACTGTCCACTGACCTCTTTGACCCGAACAATTCAGCCCCGAAAAAGACCGAGCCACGAATGGTAATCATTATTTAGTTTTGTTTTGTGAAGCAGATGTAGTTATGTTTTTTACTTTTTAATACAGATTAAAATAGGCGTCACCATTCCAAACACCCAAGTGATGTTTGAAAAGCAATCAGACTCTGCGCTGAGCCTCACCGGTCAGGCCAAGGGCAAAGTCGTCCGACAATCGATCATCAACCCCGACTGGGACTTTGCCACCATGGGCATCGGTGGCCTCGACAATGAATTCAATGCCATCTTCAGACGTGCTTTTGCGTCGCGAGTCTTCCCCCCGGAGATCATCGAAGAGCTGGGCATCAAACACGTCCGCGGCATTCTCCTCTTCGGTCCGCCGGGCACCGGCAAGACGCTGATGGCTCGGCAGATCGGCAAAATGCTGAACGCTCGCGAGCCGAAGATCGTCAATGGGCCGCAGATTCTCGACAAGTACGTCGGCGAGTCGGAGGCGAACATTCGCAAGCTGTTCGAGGACGCCGAGGAGGAGCAGAAGAAGATGGGTATCAACAGCGGCCTGCACATCATCATCTTCGACGAGATTGACGCCATCTGCAAGGCGCGCGGCTCGGTGGCGGGCACTGCCGGCGTCCACGACACCGTCGTCAACCAGCTGCTGGCGAAGATTGACGGCGTCGACTCGCTGAACAACATCCTCGTCATTGGCATGACCAATCGGCGGGACATGATCGACGAGGCGCTGCTGCGACCGGGTCGAATGGAGGTGCAGATGGAAATTAGTCTGCCCAATGAGGAGGGCCGCGTGCAGATTCTGAACATCCACACCAGCAAGATGAAGCAGTACAAGAAGCTGGCGCCCAACGTGGACATTGGCGAGCTGGCCACGCTGACGAAGAACTTCTCCGGCGCGGAGATTGAAGGCCTGGTGCGGGCGGCGCAATCGACGGCAATGAACCGCCTGGTGAAGGCGACCAACAAGGTGGAACTGGACCCGCAGGCCTTTGATAAGCTGCTCGTCACGCGGGAAGACTTTCTGCACGCCCTGGAGAACGACATCAAGCCCGCCTTTGGCACTAGTCAGGAGGCGATTGAGCGGCTGATCTGCAACGGCATCATCTGCTGGGACCCGGTGGTGAACAGCATCCTCGAGGACGGTCGCCTCTTCATGCAGCAGGTCAAGTCGAGTCAGGGCACGCGCGGCATCGTCAGCATTCTCCTGGAGGGAGCGCCGAACAGCGGGAAGACGGCGCTGGCGGCCAAGCTGGCCATCGACTCTGACTTTCCCTTCATCAAGCTCTGCTCGCCCGACGACATGGTCGGCTTCACGGAGACGGCCAAGTGCGCCCAGATTCGCAAGGTCTTCGACGACGCCTACAAGTCGACGCTGAGCTGCATTCTGGTGGACAACATTGAGCGGCTGCTCGACTACGGCCCCATCGGTCCGCGCTACTCCAATCTGGTGCTGCAGGCGCTGATGGTGCTGCTGAAGAAGGAGCCCCCGCCGGGGAAGAAGCTGCTCGTCCTCTGCACCAGCAGCTGCTGCAGCGTCCTCCGGGAGATGGGCCTCCTCTCCACCTTCACCACGGTGCTGCACTGTCCCAACCTCTCCAAGGGTCCCCACCTGATCAACGTCCTCCAGGAGATGGCCAAGGAGAATGCCGCCTGCTTTGAGGGCTACGAGATTCAGCAGATTGCCAACTCCACGGCCAACGCCACCTTCAACATTGGCATCAAGAAGTTGATTGCATACGTGGACATTTCCAAACAGGTACGGGTTGATTGAGAGGAAGAGTTAGTGATGGTGGTTAATTCTGATGAATGCGTTCTTATTTACTTGCAGATGGATCCGGGCGACCGAGTGATCAGGTTCCTCGGAAAGATTGAGGAGGAGAGCATCCATGGCTACTAGAAGGATGGAATGAGCACTTTGTTGCTGCTGCTGAATCAATGTCAAAAGTCGGATGGTCGTCCACTACCACCGGAGCAATATAAATTCCAAGCAATAAGAGCAGAGGCGTGTTGTTGTTTCTACTGCTGCTGCCGTTGATGTCAACTTGTATTAGCTGTTACCTTCTTCTTCTTCGTATTCATCATCTGGACCGCTTCATATCACACCGCCCAGTTGACCATTCCCTAGAACTGTAGTAACACTGATCTCTCTTTCTCTATCTCTTAATTAAATCGTCGATCTTCCACGAGAAGACATCATCTGCATTGTTACTACCACCTCCTCCGCCACCACCTCCTCCTCCCCACCACCACAACCACCTGTTGCCGACTAATAAGCAGCAGCAGCATCTGCAATAGGAATCGTCATAATACTATGCGTGTGATTAGTTGTGACAATCATCACAATAGTCGACACAACAAGTTCATTATTATTCTATTACTAATTAACTTAATTAGAGCCTTCCTTCCTTTCCTTCCCTTCCCCCNGTGTGATTAGTTGTGACAATCATCACAATAGCCGACACAACAAGTTCATTATTATTCTATTACAAATTAACTTAATTAGAGCCTCCCTTCCTTTCCTTCCCTTCCCCCTCTTTCCTGAGCTGCACCACACAGACAGATGATGCTCTTCTCTGCCCTTGTCTGCACTGTTTGCATGCACTGTTGATTTATGCACCGAATATGTGGTCAAAACAGCACCACCACGACCACAATCATTACCAACCCTAGCCGTCCGAGTGTTCTTCCTCTCATCATCAATTCATTTCGTTCTCTAGTCGATAGAACACCAACACAGACATGCCGACACATTCCGCATGCCCCATATTATCTCAATCTCAATCTCCTCTCTTCATCATCTTCATCATCGCCCTCACTCACACACACTCACTATCCCATTGTCTTCCGTTCTACTCTTCTTTGTTTCACTTTCAGCCTGTGTGTGTCGTGTCTTCAGCGTGTGTGTATTTGTGTTTGTTGTTGTTGTCTGCGTGCTGGTCTTGTAGAGCCGAATTTCTTAGCCTTCTGGCAAAGGAAGCAGACTGTTGCCGTTGCCGTTGTTGTTTCTCTTGACCGTTGACTGCTCTCAATAAAAATATATAAAAAGGAAAGGCATCTTTCTCTTTCTCTTTTCCCAAGTTGCAGCAGCTGCAACAGCTGTCTTGGTCCCACTGTCGATTGTACCATCATGATGATGATCATCATCAGCAACGGCGGCAGTGGCATCATCAACTGTGTGCACAATAGCTGTGGTGCAGCAAATCGCTCACTCAGCTGCTCATTTTCTCTTTCTCCCTTCTCGTAATTCTTCTTCTCCTTTGGCAGCCATCCCTTCCCTTCCTTGGCACTCTGTGTTTTCTCTCCCCACGTTTGCGTGTCTTTAATCTCCCTGCATCTCTCTCCCCTTCTCTCTCTCTCTTTTGCCCAGTAACCTCGATAACGAGCCTAATCATGAGTTGAACTACAGAGCTTGGCGCTTACCACTCTTGCTCATGTCACCAGAGCACCACCACTGCTGCTGCTGCTGCTGCTTCTGCGCTCGTCGTCGGACGCACTTCAGCGACCCTCTATCTCGTCGGCTGC